ATAAATATATTCAGAAGAAAATAAAATTCACTCTATACGACCCATTAATAAATACTTTTAATATTGATATATTGGTATATTCTCTTCTTGCTCTGTACATCATTTTAAAATTATTTTGAGGTTAAAATATATATAGTTTTGTGTCAGAGTTCTCTCACATTACCATTTATTGTAAGCATTTTTTTGTGTTAATAAATATTATTAAAATGTGATCCTTTATGACCACATTCTATCATCATTGGATTCATTGTAACTTATTTAGCCAACCTATTGTTCTTAGACATAGAGAATTTCCACATTTTTATGCTTATCATAAGTGGTGTAATATTCTTGTACGTAAATGTCTGTCTATATCTCTGATAAGTTTTGAGATAAATTCTTAGAAGTGAAATTCTGGGTAAAAGAATGTGAATATTTTAAAAATTGACCCTTTTGTTTTGAAAGAACTCTAGATTTATAGAGATAGTACAGAGAGTTCCCGTATACCTAGCTAGTATCTCACCTAACCAGAGTGTAGCTGTCAAAAATACTAAATTAACATTTGTATGCCACTACTGATGAAATTCCAGGCTTTATTTTACTCTCACCAGTTCCCTTTTCCATTCCAGGATCCATTCCAAGACATCATGTTGTATTTAGGTTGTGAATCTTTTTAAGGCTCTTATGTATGTGTGTGTATGAAAGTTATATTATTTTATATGCCCACCGATACTATAGGGGAAAAAAGACTTTGCCAACCTAATAGGCATAACAGCAATAACAATAACAACTCTAGTGGGCATTTCTTAGCTAGTGGATTTACCAATTGTTTCATTTATTTTTTGGCCAGTTGCAGTTTTTAAAAATATTTTTAATTCCCATGCCGAAACTGGTTTGGCTCAGTGGATAGAGCGTCGGCCTGAGGACTGAAGGGTCCCAGGTTCGATTCTGGTCAAGGGCATGTGCCTTGGTTGCGGGCATATCCCCAGTGGGGGGTGTGCAGGAGGCAGCTGATCGATGATTCTCTCTCATCGATGTTTCTAGCTCTCTGTCCCTCTCTTTTCCTCTCTGTAAAAAATCAATAAAATATATTTAAAAAAAATTCCCAATCAGCTATAGGGGTTCTGTCAGTGTCCAGGCCTTTAGCTTCCATTCAAGCTGACATACAGTCAGTGTCAGGTGAGCACCCTGGGAGCTGGGCTGAGGCCTGTGGGCTGTGGAACCTGGTGACAGTGAGGGATGCTCTCCACAGAGTGGGCTCAGCTAGCTGGCTCTGTGCAGAGTGGGCAGTGACGTGTTGTAAAGGGCACTGTCCAGGAGTTGGGAGACTTAGGGTTTCATCCTAGTTCTCTTACTATCTATGTGAACTTCAGCAAGTTAGTCCATTTTCTGAGTTCTAGTTTTTCATCTGGTTAATAGGCGAGTCTCAAAGACCAAATGGACGATTTGTGAAGGTACTTTGTAAAGCACCATATATCACAGGGAACGATGTTGCAACGGGAACCGAGAAGTGCCTTATGTCGACATATGAATATCAACCCACCATCCCAAGAGGGCAAGAAATGCTTCTGAGATCAACTCCGTTCCAACCCTGAGCTCCCATCTTGCCTGACGGGGAGGGAATTCCATTGTGGTGATTGTAGGCTCCCTCTCAGTGAGGGTCACACAGAATCCAAGAGGCTTATGGGGCTGCCCAGAAAAGGAGCATTTCTGTGGGCTCTCTACTCTCATGGCCCCGGGTGCCCTGCAAGGTCTGCCCTCGGGCTATGCTTAAGGTCTTTGTGCCACCTCCAAGGCTTGTCCCTTCCTGGAGGTGCAGAACCCGGGTCTCCATTTTTTTCCTGCTCCCCTGGTCCTTCTCCCTATCATTTCTTTTTCCCCACGGTACCTTCAAGACACTCCCCTAAGAGTCCCCTAGGAGCCCAGGCTCAGGAAACAGATTAAGGAGAGAAGGGCCTGGGGTGGCTTCTGTCTGGTCCTGATACTCAAAGAGGACGATCCAAGACCCTGGCTTGGGAAGGGAAAGGAAAACTCAACCATCTAAACATAGATAATATCTGAGAAAATAATCTGGCCACACCGAGGAGAAGCAGGAAGATAGGTAGCCTGTTCAGGTACTGTCACAAACCTGCATTGCAGCCCCAGGCACGTCACCCACTGTCTCTGAGCCTGTTTCCCCAGCTGTGCCATGGGGGGGGGGGGGGGGTGCTGTAACCTCTACAGTAGCTGTGGGCACTCACAGCCCTCCAATTAATTGGCCACTTCCTGAGAAGGCTAAGGCTTTTATTTTGGAGTTCCTGTCCTTTTCCAGTCATGTGACCTGACCAGGAAGACAGATTTTTACTGAGGCTATTGTTGGTTTAATCTGTGAGAGTGTTTTTGTAACACCATGGTAAAGATGAGCTAGCTATGGGGCTTGGCTAAATGCTCTCCATGCATTATCTCATTAAATCCTCATAATTGCTTGTTGGGTTGGCCCTATTGTTTTCATTTTGTGAAAGAGGAAACAGGCCAGAAAGCTTTCCCACAGCCACGAGGTAGGTGAGGGACGGAGCTAGCCTGACTCTGAGGCTGAGCTGCGTGGCCCTCTGGATTGTGTCCCCTCAGGGGGTCAGAGGAACTTAGAGGACAAATATTCTAGGACAAGCGTGTGACCATCTTCAAAGCTCTTCCTGCAGAGACTCCCAGGCTCCCTGAGTCCTGAAGAAATGGAGAAGGGAGCATTGGGAGGAACAGGAGAACCCCATGGGGATGAAGTTCTCTGGAGGCAAGAGCAAGCATTTCTCAGAATTCTGAAGTTGCTGCCAGGGCCTAAGGTCCGGGACCCTACCTGCGCGCCTGCCCTGCAGAGGGCTGTCCTCTCTCCAGAGCAGTGCAGGCATGTGGCTAGTCATGTTCATGCAAAGGCGGTGCTGGAGTGCCTCAGCCTGCCTGCTTGGAGGGAAGTGGTGTCTGGGTTTGCATCCAATCTCTGGGCAGACAGATGCCACTGTTGCCATGCATCACTCAAGGGCAGGGACCTGTATGGGGACTCAGTACCTAGAGACAGATCCAAGACAGCCCGGGATGGTGCAGCTCAGAGTGACACCATCAAGCCTCCCCTCCACGATTCTGTCACATCGGTCCCCTGCTGTCGCATCGTTACTCCTGCTTCTAATTTCTACCCGTTCTCCCTTCACCCCAGGGGCTAAAAATTGACTTGGAGAAAGAGAAAATTCCAAGACTTGTGACCTCTCAAGATACATTTTATACAACTTTCCTGATGAAATTATTGGGAAATGGCAGCTTGTTTAACCAAATCTAAGCCAGGTTTGGAGTTATATTGACAAAAATCCTGTTAGGCCATTTCTTCCCATTTGTACTCATTAAGTCCTCTCTCGCCAGTACTTGGGCAGACCCTTTGTGTACAGTGGGAATCTCAGACGGAAGTTCTGAAGGCCACCCTTCATTTCACACTTGGGCAGGACAGTCCAGCGATGCTAAGGGGTTCACCCAAGATCACAGTGACTTGCAGGCCCTGTGGGTTTGGAACTTGAGGTTTCTGCCTTTCAGCCCTATGCTCTTTCGATAACATCTTACACAACTTATGATGTGGTCGGAGGAGCAGGAATGACACCTCTGAAATGATTACAGAACCCGTGGAGGGAGCAGAGTTTCCCTTGAGGTGATTTCCTGCCCACAGTGGGCTTGCTGCCAGTGTCTCTGGGTTGTTTTCTTATATAGGCTTGCTTGGGGTTGTAATTTTATTTTGAGACATTGGAAAATCCCATAATGAAAAAAATGATTAGATGAAATTGAATTCTTACATTTTTGTCCAGTTTGTGCTACGTCAGTGTGTGTGTGTGTGTGTGTGTGTGTAGTGTGTGTATAGTGTGTGTCTCGTGCTGAACCTGCAGGGAGAAGGGGTCTGCCATGGTGTCCCCTGGTGAGGTGAGGTGGGGTCTCTTAGTGAAATAAAAGAAGCTGGCCGGCACTGGTTTGGCTCAGTGGATAGAGCGTCGGCCTGTGGACTGAAGGGTCCCGGGTTCGATTCCGGTCAAGGGCATGTACCTTGGTTGCGGGCACATCCCCAGTAGGGAGTGTGCAGGAGGCAGCTGATTGATGATTCTCTCTCATCGATGTTTCTAGCTCTCTATCCTTCTCTCTTCCTCTCTGTAAAAAAATCAATAAAATATATTAAAACAAAACAAAAGAGGCTGGTAAAGGGTTTTCTAACCCAGAAGCTTACAGGTTTTGAAAACTCCTGACTCAATGTCCATGTCATTCATTCACTCAAATAATTCTGAAGAGATTTCAACAATAATGATTAAAAACACCTCTGGGCAAAGGCCCCATGTCAGATTCCAGGAAGGAAGTGTTTCATATGCAGGAACATGTCTTGGTTATGGTCTCTCCTGGATAGGAGAGTCTCCAGGGGGTCCCATGGCCTGCCTGAGAGCTTCCACTCAACCACAGGGCTCAGAGGCTGACTCATGACTTGTTCCAGACCCCCCCAGGGTTGGGTCGGGGTGAAGGCCGCCCATCCAAGATCAGATTGGAGTGAGTGAGACGCTGTGCGGCTGGGCCTGGCCTCCAAGGAAAACGGCCTCCGCAGCCCCTCTGTGAAGCCAGTGGCTGAGAGCAGCGGTGCGGGGATCGTGGGTTCCCACCCTCCCTGACTTATACCCAAATTCTTGTCAGAGGAGATCCACCATCCAGAAATAAAAGCAGATTTGGATCTCACGAGAGATCAGAATAGGGAAGCCCAGAGGCCGTGGCCCATTGGCAGAGGGGTCCTGGGTGGGCCGAGCTGCAGTGGGGCCACATTTCTCACTCCTGCATCTTCGAGCTGTGAGTCGGACAGATTTTATCTTGCCTGCTTTGACCCTAATGAAGCAACAGCGGAGTGTGGGGAGAGAGCAGAGAGCAGTAAGCAAGCTGGTTCTTCTTTTGGCCCATTTAGCAACTTCCTGTAGCTTTTGAGTAAGGACAGGTATCTGCCCTTGTGCCCGGAGGTGTGCAGTCCCCAGCGTATGCCTGTGGCCCCAGGCCGTCTAGAAATGGGCCCAGGCTCAGCCCCAAAGCAAGTGCCTTAACCATAGGGAAAGGAAGGGGACATCAAATAGGCAGTCTCACTGATCCTTCATGTTCCTCTGACTCGTCTTTCGGTAAATAATCTTTGGCACCCACTCAGGAGGGGCATTCTGGCTTGCATCTCCTTTACTCCACTTCTTTCCCCTTATCACTCAGCAAGGCCCACATTTTACCGACGAAAATGTGGAATCACAGAGGGAAAACCATGGACTTGGCCTCTATCACTAATCTGGTAGCAAAGTCTCTTGGCAAATTCAAATGTACCTGCTACAATCTTTTCCTCAAGAGGTTTCGGGTGTTTTCAATTTACTAATTCGTTAAAGGCTGAGGGAGCTGCCAGGCATGTGCCCGAGGACCAGCTCTGTCCCCATGAACTCTGGGGGCTCAGACACAGGGGTACAGGGCTGCTAGCTGACAGGGGATGTGGCAGGGATGTCACCAGCTCATGACCCCACATCCTAAGAACAGCCTGGCCTCATGGCTCCCTGCCCTCCTGCCCACCTAACCTTGTCAATCCCCATACCCATTCTATCAGAGTCCTCGCTTTCTGATCCCAGGCTTCTCCTTGCCAGAGTTTTCTTCCACAACTCCCACCACCCCTGCCCTCCACCTGGAGTTTCCCCACACCCTCCCCTCCAGCCTGTCCTCTCCTCCCTCTCCTGAAGGCGCAGACCTTCTCCCTCACGTCTGCCCCAAACCTGCCAACCCCTCTCTCCTCTGTCCTGCCACGGCCCCTGACTGGGCTTGGTCATCTCAGCTCTGGGTCCCATCAACCTTCTGCCAGCTCTGCCTCCCCAGTGGGAGGACTGCAGCTGCCACACACGCTAGGCCTCCGCTCACAGCCAGACCTCAGCCTCTCTGCTTCCCTAGGATTCTTCCAAGCCTCCTCTGTGGTCATCTACCCGTATATGTCATCTCTTCGCTGTACCTTGGGCAACAATCCAAATCCCGCTTCTCTGGGAAATCAGAGGTAACCAGGCGGGGAGCACCCTGCTGTGGAGGGAGTGCTGCTTAGTCCTCCCTGCCAGAGGGAGCCGGAGAGGTTGGGTGGGGGGTATGTGCCTGTCAGCTGCAGCCAGCAGTGAGCATGGCAGGGTGTGAGGGCTCGGCCACTGCTGCCCCAGGTCAGAGGCCTGCTGTCCTGCCTGCTCTGCTCCTGAAGGCCTTCTCTGCCTCTTCCTGCTCCCCCTCCCAGGTATCACCGCCCCAGTAGAACTCTTGTACTTCTCCCTCCATTTGGTACCTGCTTCCCAGAGTCCGGCTTCCTGGCTGGTCAGTCTGAACACTTGCCTGCCTCCTTCCAGCCTAGCGTCCTGGCTCATCTCCATAACGGCAGTTCTTCCACCGCCCAGAGGCGAATATTTCAGGGGGAGTGGGGGTCCACCCCCTTGCTGGCCTCCCTAGGGACCCCACAGCCCTGGTAGCCATCATCCCAGTTTCCCAACCTCCTCCTTCCCTTTGCTGCCCTGCACTTTTCCTCGCCAGCCACACTTCCTTCACCCAATGTCACCAGGGCCACCAGTGGACCCCAAATTGCTAAAATCCTCGGGTACTTCTCGATCTTTGCCATACTTGGTATGTGCGAAGCACCCTCTCCTCCCTGAACCACTCTCCTTTTTTGTTCTATATAATGTGTTACTATGCTGTCCTTCCCAACTCTGCATTCAGGACATCATATTAATAGCTTGAAATTGGTCAGGTGGAAATATTTACACCATAGAAGTTTACAAACCCCACACATCAGGGGTTGATTTATTGTTTGTTGACTGTCTAGACTTAAGAAAGTTATAGAGAAAATGTTAATGCACCTTAAACTTAAATGTATATTGTGTCTGTAGCCACTGCATGGTAAATTGCATAGAAAAATTGAGCCAAAGTTCTTCCAGTGTCCAAAAGCTATGCTCTCACTCAGTGAAAATATGCTCACATCACTGACAAACAAGTGAAGTTCCAACTTGTGTCTATCACTTTTTTTTTCCTTAGTAGTTGCCACAAATAAAACTATCAACTGGCATTTACATAGGAACTACCGTATTTTTCGGACCATAAGACGCACTTTTTCCCCCCCAGAAGTGGGGGGAAAAAGTCCCTGCGTCTTATGGTCCAAATATAGCCTACACATATACTTTAAAAAAAAAGTTTTTTTACTTGCCCGGCTCTGTGTGGTCTCTGTGTGCTTGCCCGGCTCTAAAATGGTTCTAAATGCTGCTGTTTACTTTACAGGGTTGATTACATGTGTTTATGACTGTGATGTTGGGTTTTAATGCACATAAAATATTTTAGGACACTATTTGTTTCAGAATCTTTTTTTCTTCATTTCCCTTCTCTAAAAACTGGTGCGTCTTATGGTCCGGAGCGTCTTATGGTCCGAAAAATACGGTACACTCATTTGTCAATTATAGTTTGGGTATGGATTCAGCATGTCACTAAAAATCAATGAAAGCATTTGTAAGACTCAATTTGCTCTATGCAATTTACAGTGGAGAGTACTATACATTTTATTATTATTTGTAAATTGCTAAACATCTTTTATGTCAATAAAATTTATTGCACACTCATTTATATACTATTTTTTCTGCCACATAGGATGCCAGCCAAACATCTTCTGAGAGTGAGGGGCAGAGAAGAGGCAAAGAGCTGAGGTGGATGAGGCACCAAGAGGAGGGGCTTGTGAGGACAAGGCGACTCCGAGACAAGCAACGACAGCATCATCATAACCATGACATCTAGAAGGCGGGTGTCAACCCCGTTCTGGCCCTGGGCCAGGCTCTGAGGTACCGATTTGCTTTATTCATCTGCTGGGACAATCCTGGGAGGAAACTGAGGCGTGGAGAGGTTAAGTCCTTTATCCACTGTCACAGCCAGTTAGTGGCTGAGGCAGGATTCGAACTCAGGCAGCTGGCCCTCCTGACAAGGCAGGTGACTGCACTGCAGCCCCTTTTCCTCAGTAAAGCCCCTTAGACTGTTGGCCCTGGAATGGCTTCAGGACAGAGACAGGGAGGGCCGTTGTGGCACATGCCGAGGGCGTGGGGCATCAAAAGGACTGGCAAAGCCACCTCATGCCTCTGGCCGCTGCCTGGTGTGCACTGCCCAGCACGCTCCTGCTGCCACTCCACGGGGCCTGCTGCAGCTAGTAATACGTGCCAGGGCTTGCATTTAAAACGTATCTTTATTCTTTTATTTTTCAGTATTTCATTTTTATTATGTTTTTTAAAAGTAAAATACATGACAGATAGGAAATTTACAAAATTGGCGTCTTCCCTTAGAACGTTTGAGATGTGCGTTCTGATCCCCCTCTGTCACGCTGCTCCCGCTGGAAGCCCTTACTGATCCCCCGGGCCACAGCAGCGGCTTCAGATGGGCGGGGCAGTCTGTGGGCTGGGAGCTTAATTCAGTGTCATCACCAGCATTTAATAAACAGGAGCAAAACAGAAAATGTCAGAGTACATTGCATGTAAGAAATACATTTTGTTTCAGCTATATGCAAAAGTAAGTATACATAAAATATTAAATACATAATAGGTAATGTATTAATGTTAAATATATGATAAAGAATTATGATATAACAGACTAATAATATATACTATGTGAATATATTATTGAGAGCACGTATATTTATAGATAGGTATATGTACCTAATGTATTGCATATGTATACTGGAGTATGATGAGAAATATCTCCTTTCAAAAAAAAAAAATATATATATATATATATATATATTATTGATTTTTTTACAGAGAGGAGGGGAGAAGGATAGAGAGTTAGAAATATCTATGAGAAACATTGATCAGCTGGGGATGTGCGTGCAACCAAAGTACATGCCCTTGACCAGAATCGAACCTGGGACCCTTCAGTCTGCAGGCTGATTCTTTATCCACCAAGTCAAACCAGTTAGGGTGAGAAATATCTTTCTTACTATAATCACAGTAAAGAAAAACTTAATTGCCACTGGCCAACCAGCGAAAACAGCACTGTGGAGCCTGACCTTCAAAGCCACACAGGAGCGAGCGACTGCTGAGGAGGAGCAGGCCAAAGGGTGCAGTGAGCTGAGCTTGGAGGACAGCCTGGGTATGGATGAGCACAACTTGCATGCCTAGTGCTCCCGCTCAGAATGGTCTGGACCTGGTGTCCGGGAGCATGCTTGCAGTTCGTGTGATGGCAGCTTAGGGGAGGGAGACCCTCAGTCTGCTGGAGAAACCACGGGAGACTTCCCGAGGTGGTAACACCTTAGCTGACTTCTGAGGGAAGAGTTGGGGTTTGCCATGAGAACTGGGGTATGGGGAAGACTAGCCTGGCCAAGTGAGTGGCTTGTGAAAAGGCAGAAAAAAGGCCTGTCATGTTTGGGGAAATATGGGCCACTTAGCGTCAGTGGACCATGAGCTAGGGAGGAGGCCTCTAGTGCCATCTTGAGAGTCAGGATTTGCTTTTGGGCTGAGGAGCCACGGAGGAATGTTGAGCAGAGTGGCATGAAGAGACGTACTTGCCAGGACTCTGGCTGCCCTGAGGAGTGGATTAACGCAGAGGGCCAGGAGGCAGGGCGGCCTGCAGGGAGACTGTTGTAATAGCTGGGCCTGAATAGGACAGTGGGGATGCAGAGGGAGGTGAGAGAGAGAGGCTCAGGAGGACATGGCCACCCATTACTCACCAGACAGGGCAGTGAGAGGAGGGAGGTCAGGTGGCTCCGGGGGTGCTGACTGGGGAACCGGTTAGAGGGTGGTGCCTTTTGCCCAGATGAAGAACAGAGGAGGCAGAGAGGGACTGGGGAGAAGATAACGCTTTCAACTGAAGCCACACTTGTAGGTGGATGTGGCAGTGGGCAGCTGGAACAGAGGAGCGGGGCGAGGCCAGGGAGACAGATGTGGGAAAGCCCAAGAAAGACTGAGGGAAGTGGTCTTTTTATTATTTAATTTTTTAAACTGTATTTTTCAGTCATAGTATACATTCATTATTATTTTGTGTTAGTTTCAGGTGTACAGCATAATGGTTAGACAATCATATACTTTACACCTATTCCCCCAATATTTCCAGGACCCACCTGGCACCATACATAGGTGTTACATTAGTAACTATATTCCCTGTGCTGTACTTCATATCCCCATGACTATTTTGTATATCTATTTATGCTTCTTAATCCCTTCACAAGATCCAGAAACTTGGGTCACAGAAGCCAAGGTGGGGGTGGGGGGGGCAGAAAAGACCGAGGAGGAAACAGCGATGCAGATGCTTCAGAAAATCAAATTCCTGAAGGGGCCGTGGGATGTGGCCCAGGGAGGACACAGGTGCCCTGGGTACGGGTGCGCGGAGGGCGTGGCAGGAGCCGGGGCTTTGGCAGTGAGTGGAGATGTCACCCTGAGAGGAAGAAAGCAGGGCTCATGTAGACCATATGGTGCCTTTGTGCGAGTTAGAGAGGGACACGCCTTCCTCCAGGCAGATCAAACCCTCTTGCCAGCACTCGGGCTCGGGGAGAGGGGTGGAAGCTAGATTTCAGCCCCCACAGGCCCACAGTGGAGCACCCAAGCTGGCCGTGGCCCTGCAAGTGTACATCAGCCCTTGTAGAAACTGACTGGGAAAAGGAGTGAAATAGTCCTTGTCTGAGGGGGTTTCGTTTTTAAGCTGTGAGAGATTGGGGCATGCTGACTCGGGTGAGAGAGGGGAGCCCATGAAGGAAAGAGGGTACGGGACAGGGAGACCTGCCTGGGAAGCTGTCTATAGGTCAGGGCTGTGCTGCGGCCATGGTTGAGGGCTGGGTGCCCACCTGGGGCCTGGGGCCTGGGGCCAGGGTGCAGGCTGGTGCTGCAGCCGAGTTCGCTGAGAATCTCTGTGATGGGCACTGGAGCGGACGCCGAGCAGGGACACTGAGACGTGGCTGAGGCGGCCTGGCCTGATATGTGTATAAGTACAGAGCAGTTCTGGGGCTGTGGACAGGTGGCATGCAGCAGGCCTAGAACTGGGCAGGCCAGGCAGGGTCTTGGCACAGAGTTTTGTTTACTTATTATTTTACTTTTTACTCTGGAAAAATTTCAAGCACACCCAAAAGTTGTGGGAAATGCAAATGAACATCCCTCTTATACCCGTCATTTAGCTTCAAAGATATTACTATTGTTAATGTTATTTAATAACACCTTCTTTAAGCATCTGTTTACTATTTTATTGATCTACTTTAACTGCCTTTTTAAGAACTTAAAAACATTTTTTAACAGTCTTCATTTTTTAGATCAGTTTTAGGTTCAGAGCAAAATTGAACGGATGCATTTACCTCTGGTTAAAAACTTTTTTATTTGGAAATAGCTTTAAGCTTACAGAAAATTGCAGGAACAATTTAAAAAATATTTTTAAATGCTGTTTTCTTATTACTAGTAAAGAATATATTCTCAAAATGTATATAGTAGAAAATTGAGATCATCTGTGATTCTACTATCCAAAAATCAGTACTGTTATTGTTTTGGTGTATTTCCTCCCCGTTTATTTCCCTATACTTATACACATATATTTTTTTAAATATATTTTTATTTATTTATTTGTTTATTATTTATTTTAAAAATATACTTTTATTGATTTCAGAGAGGAAGGGAGAAGGAGAGAGAGAGATAGCAACATCAATGATGAGAGGGAATCATTGATCGGCTGCCTCTTGCACACTCCCTACATGTGCCCTTGACTAGAATCAAACCTGGGACCCTTCAGTCCACAGGCCGACACTCCATCCACTGAGCCAAACCAGCCAGGGCTTATCCACATATTCTTAACTGGACTATTTTATCCAGAGACTAATCCCACCCCTCAGCTCCCTCCTGTCAGTGTGCCCGCACCAGTGGCTCAGTGCCATGGCCTTCACCTCCAAATCCCTTCACCCCAAAATCCCTTCATGAGCAGCAGTGGAGCCACGTTCAGTGCTAATGCAGGCCTCCCTTTAACACTGGTTTCATGGTTTTTCTTAGATAACATCGGCTGACTTCCGGGGCGCTGAGTTGCCCAACGCTCCTTGGCAACCATCTTGCCCATGTCCCATACCCATCTCTCTGTATCAGTCTATCGCCACACTCACCTGAGCGCTCAGTGAGGGTGGGGCTTAGAGCTGACTCACCGCTCTTCATGAGGCAGAGGTGGCCTTAAGAAATATGTATGGAATTGAATCAACCCACTTATCTGACATTGCTCATCTCCATCGGTGCTGCAGACTCTCAGAGTGCCTTTTACTAATTTACAGCCTCCAGCATGGTGTCTGGCACATAGTAGGTACTCAATAAATGTTCATTACTGTTGCTACCAATAACCTGGAGATTTCCATACATGGAAACTGTTTTTTTTTCTTCTGCCCATTCCTGCCTCCCTCTACTTCTCCTGGATGGTAAAGAAGGAAGACCACTGTGACATGCCAGAGGGAGGGGCCCTGCTTTGTCCCCCTTCTTCTGTAAGTTAGGAGCAAAGCTAAGTTGGCAATGGGTTCAAACGAAGCAGTTCTTCATGTTGAGGTTATTTTATATGTTTGCATTGCTCACAATACCAGTTAGCATTAGCAGCAATTAAACTATTTCAGGATTAGATCAAAGCTGCCTTTGAGGTATTTTAAGTTGGACAAAAGTCTCCCATGTGTCTACCTCTGAGCCAAGTTCCCTAGTGTCATTGGAAGCCCACTTGTATCTAAAGATTGCCCAGTCTGTGTATTTTGATAACCTGAACATTTAATAAATTTCAGGAATGTTTGTTGGAAATGGGTTAATAGGAGCTATTTGGTCTGTCTTACAAATTTCACTTAAGTGGGGGAGGGGCTCTGCAGAGGCAGTTCCTCTGGCCACGCAGAACCCTGGGCATCCATGGAGGGAGCCTGGCAGAAACCAGAGCAGGAAGGGATGAGGGCTTGGTCTAGGGTGAGGGCATCAGGAATTGGGAAGAAGGCGGAAGCCCAATTTACAGGGCTGGGCTGTGAGGAGAGGAGTGGGGCGGCCTTCAGAACACCTTAAGTAATCTTCAGATTTGATTGATAGATAAAAACAGGGAAAGAACCGGTTTTGGCATATTGGGCTGCTAGGGAGTTAGTCAGCAACTTGCTCTGGCCCACTCTCTGTAGGCCCTGGCCCTGGCCCTGGCCCTGGGCTGGCTGTGGCAGGAGGGCCCAGGGTCACTATTGCCTGAACACTCCAGGCCCCTCCAGGGCCACGATTAGCACCGAGCATCTCGCTGCCAGCTGACGGGGGGTGCCTTTGATGGGCTGAGCTGGGCCGCTTTGGGTGGGAGATCTGAAATGGGTGGCAACCCAAATGGGAGGAAGAGCCTCTGGGACAATGGAGAATAGGAAAGGCCCTGCCAGAGGCCGGCCTGTGTCAGCGAGGCTGTGGCAGGGACCAAGAAAGGGACCAGTTAAGACAAAGCTGTCTTGCCCAAGTGTGTTTGGCCGTCATTTCTGCTGGGGACAGTGGCGCTGGTCGTCCGGGTTTGTGTCTGGGGAGTAAGGGACCTGCTACTGCTTTGGGTTTCCCACATGCCGTGCCTTGGTCAGAGCCACCAGCCTTCACCGGGCTCTCATATGCGTCCTTGGGACTTCTGTGCAGAAGACACCCCTTTGCTCCTCCTTTCAGCTTGAGGACCCGAGGCCGTAACCGCTGACAGAATGCTGGGAGCCGCTGTGGCCCAGCTCCTGGGACACTCACACCAACCCCGGGCTGGGGCATCAGAGGGCTGGGTGGGAGCTGTGTACCCAAGTGGGACCCCTCGCGTGGTGGCGAGTGCCCAGAGGTGGCAACAATGGAGGAATCCTGCCCTTGGCCTCACAACGTGGGAGGGCAGGCGGCAGATGACCCGCTTTCAAAGCGGCGTGGCTGTAATGGGGCTGCTTCAAGTGGTCGACCTGCACATACACGTTGGTCTTAAACTCTCCAAAACTGGGCGGTTAAACATCTGCATCCTGTTTTCATTGGCTTGTAAGCCATGGTGATGGGGACCTGCCTAGTCTTCTGAGCCAGCAAGTGTGCCCAGAGGCTAATAAACAGCAGGTGCCTCCAATAAATATGGTTTTAATGCTCAATGTAAATGTGTGCAGATAAATATGTAAAATGAAATGTGGGAGCTGAATCTATATGCAGGTTACCCAATTTCTCAGCTGTTTTGAACTGTGAACTGTAGTGACTGTGTGTGTATAATGTGTTTTACATGTGCACAGTATATAGTGGTGGGGAGTGTATATGTTTGTATTGTGTGTGTATGTGCATTGGTAGTGTGTGTGTGTGTGTGTGTGTGTGTGAAGGGAAGTCCCCATTAGGTTGGTTGGAGACACCAGTCTCATAATTTACAAGGTCTGGTGCAAAACAAAAGTGTGGGCCCCTTATTCAAAATTATTGGGAATTTCACCCAGGGTTTTGCTTAATGGATAGAGCATCGGCCTGTGGATTGAAGGGTCCCGGGTTCAGTTGCGGTCAAGGGCACATGCCTCAGTTGTAGGCTCAATCCCCGGCCTTTGTTCAGACACCTGCGGGAAGCAACCAATCGGTGTGTTTCTCTCACATCGATGTTTCTTTCTGTGTCTCTCCCTCCCTTCCATTCTCTTTAAAAATCAATGGAAAAATATCCTCTGGTGAGGATTTAAAAAATAAATAAATAAAAATAAATTATTGGGAATTTCAAGACAGCTATAGCAGAGCATCAGACCAAGCTTGGACCTTTCTGAGTGAGGGCCCCTGTGACTCCACAGGTCAAATGGAGACGCTGCACCTCCTGTTGTTCTGTGTGTGTTTCTCTGCCAATACCATGCGGTTTCAGTTATCATGCTCTACAGTCTAATTTGAAGTCAGGTAGTATGATACCTCCAGCTTCGCTCTTTTTCAGGATTTGTTTTGATTATTTGGGGGCTTTTGTGGTTCCATACAAATCTGATGATTTCTCATTCTATTTATTTATTTATTTTTAAAATTATTTTTATTGATATCAGGGAGGAGGAGAAAGGGAGAGAGAGACAGAAACATCAATGATGGAGAGAGAATAATTGATCGACTGCCTTCTGCACTGAGGATCGAGCCTGCAACCCCGGGGAATGTGCCCTTGACCAGAATCCCCTTCCCTCTCTCCCCATCCTCCTCATGAGCCTGTGCCCTGTAGGACTTGCTGCACCTTTCCCGACCCTCCCTCTGTTCCAGCCTGGGCCTCACCGCGGCACCCAAATCCATAAGGTCTCTCAGCTATTTGCTAAAAAAAAAAAAAAAAAAAGTCCTGAGAATGTCCAGGTCCCCTCCCAGCCCACCCTGCATCGCTGGGCCCTGCCTCCACCCTCAGGACTTGAAAGCTCAGGCTCCTGCCCACACCAGTGCCCTCGGTGCTCGTCAGGCAGCAAACAGCACAGAGAAGACGCGTCCTCATTGCCCACCAAGAGCTTCAGTTCTCAGGGGCCCTGTTCTGGGAGGGGGCGGTAGGAGTAGGGGGAGAAGCGGCGAAGGGGCGCTGGGAAGCTGGGGCCGGGTGGTGCAGGCAGAGTTCCCAGCCTCGTGATCTCAGTGAGGGGATGTGGAGGTGGGGACTCCCTCAGTCCTTCCTGTTTACTGTCCTGGTTTTCCTCCTCTCGGGTTAAGTGCCGTGTGCCTGCTTCAGAACACACTCAGGAGATGCTAATGGATAATAATGAGGGTGTTCCTGCCCCAATACCTAGCTATGCTTGTCAATAATTAGCCACGATTTCTAAGGTTCTGGGAGGTGACACCTGGTTTGCCCCAGCTGGTTTAGCTCATCAGTGTAGCAATAGCATGACAGTTTTGAGGTACCTGAGTGGTTTTGGGGTGGTCCATGTGTGGGCACCTCCCAAGGGTTAAGGGAACTTGAGAATTTACTTGACCCTAGTCAGAGACTAGTCCCTAAACTCAGCCCATCCCAGCTCTCCTGGTAACCACCAGCTCCGTGTGCTTCTGTTTTAGGGATCCCAGATGGGACTGTGTGAACCCCCAGCCTGGGGACCTCCCTGCAAAAGGCCCCCTGTCTCAAGCCAAGGGACCCAGAAGTGTAAAGTTTGTGAGTGACGTGGGGCAAGCTAGGCTAGAGAGAGGATTTCAATAAATGGCCAGGTCTGAGTGGAGATTGCTACAAACTTGATAGGCACTGGCCATGGGGCTTTGCCTGCCAGGGAGAGTCAGGATGGGGGTGGGGAGACGAAGAGGAGGGAGATGGAAAACATGCAGGGGTGTGGTGATAAATTGGATTCCTAGTGGGGGGGAATGTCTTAATTTAGAATTTGTCAATTTCTGTGGTGTAAATATTTCCACAAAGCTATCAGTTGGTTTAACAACTGGTTCACAAAATTCTTGACTCAACAACAGCTCTTGCTTACTTACTGCTCATTAGATCTTTGTCCCGTCAGAGGCCCTCAACAGCACAAGCCCCCAGGCCCTCGCTGCACGCCTCCCTGAGCCCAGCTTGCCCACTTCCTAGGTTTTATTTACAGAAAGCCCTTCTCCATGCATTGGGCATCTTGGGGCCTGAAGCGAGCCTTCCAGATGTTCAAGCTCCCTGTGCTTCAGACCCTAGAGGAGGGCAGGCGGGTCTGCCTCACAGGTTGTTATGAAGCTCAATGAGGCGATGGATAGGAAATGACTTTGCCAAAATGTACACCAAACCCAATCAAGTGGAGTGCCACAACCCAAGTTCCTTGCCCGCCTCCTCCTAGTGTGGTTTGAAGAGCCATAGTTTGGGGCATCTAGCAGTTCTATAATAATTTGCCAGCTGATTAGCCACCCTGCCTCTCACCTCCCTTGGTCACATGTCAGCCTCCTCACTCATTCTCACCGCCAATGGACCAGGTATGTGTGGGTGACAAATACCAGGGAGCCAGGAAGCCACTAGTCAGGTCCCTGGGCCACAGAACAACGCCCATTCCAGGAGCTGGGAGTCTGTCCACAGAAGGCCACCTGCGGAAGGGGCTTCCTGGTCCTGCGTGTGGCCTGGACATTCTCTGCTGCAGGATTTTTATTATGCAATCTTTTCAGAGACCCACATGCCCTTGACACCTTCCCAGTGACTTCATTTCCCCCTCCTCTGGGCTCCTGGAATGGCCCCACCTTAGCTTGGCAGCTGTGGTGAGAGGTGTTGACCCAGCTGCCTGTCTGCTGGCTCACCGTGTCAGGTGGAAGGGGTGAAGACAGTAGCAGGGTTGAGGGGTCTTTCCTCAGAGTCAGGAACCTGGAACTGTCTCCAGGCAGGATGGGGGCCAGGGTCCCCTGGATTCAGCCAGCTCCTAGGGGATGAGTGGTACAGGTAGCCAGTGAGGAATAGGCCACAGGGCAGGAAAACAGTCCAGAGCCACAGATATGCCACTGGTTCTCGTCTTAATCTCTCCTGTGTGGTGAGAGCACTCTGCCAGGCCTCGAGCCAGCAGAGAGTACCTGCTGACCCCAGAATAAGTTTCCGTGGGGGCTGGAGACAGTCACACCTGCCTGACCTGTGTGAGCTTTACAGGCTGGTGAATAAACCAGCACAGCACACTGCAACACACCCTCGACTGGGTAGAAGGCTTCATAGAGGAGGTGTCATTCGAAGGAGCCATAGGAGTGGGTCCCCCGAAATAGCCCCAATCTCCCTGCACAAGCCCAAGTCAGGCTCCAGCCCTGGGGCTGGGTCCACCTTCTGAGCATCCATGGGGTGACCCTCGCAGCAGGAGGTTACATAGCCCAACCTCCTCCTGCCAAACATGGCAGACTTCCCCCTTCTGGGAACAGATGGGAGTAAAATTCCCTGGCTGCTCTTTTTATGAATGATCAGGTGTGTGTGGGGGGTGAGGGAGGGGAGAGAAGGGGCTCTTTGGAGGTTCCTGGAAGTTGAGAGGTTCCATCGAGAGGAGACAACACACGTGGCACACCCAGAGCTGGAGCTGGATCCTGGCTCCGGCTTCCGGTGTTCACTCCCAGAGTTCAAGGTCTGCACCAGCCCACTCAGGGACTTAGTGAGGGCACAAGGGCTAAGGCCAGCCTGGAAGAGATCTGACTCTGAATTAGATGTGATCAACGAGGGAAAATTATTGCAGCAATTGAGTTCATGGAAAATGCTATGTGTGTGCCCCATCGTTTAAAAACTGTCTCTGTGCATTCGTGAACCTGGGACCCTCTTCTGTCTCCCTCTCTGGGGAATCCTATGGGATTCCACACCTGGTTCAAAAGGTATGAGAAAACGCCTTCCCCATGCTCACACAGTAGGAGTGCAGCTAATGAAAGCTCCCTTCCTTGAACCACTCACAGTGGTCACCTGGGGCTGAGGGCAAAGGGTTCCCTCAGTCTGAAGGTTGATGGGCCTCTGATCCCTGCCTCCCCCTTCCTTCTCCAGCTGATGACCAACACCTGGATGTCATAACGTCTTCTGCGTCCTCATGTGTTATTCTGGGACACTGTCTGGGGAGGGTACCTGAGTAGTCCCCCTCTGACTGAGGCTGGCAACGTGGGCTGGCCTGTGCCAGTCTCATGGATGGATGTAGAAGGGCGAGGCACTGATCCTGCTCGTTGGGCAGGATGCTGGCAGGAGGGCAGGACAAGCAGGGGCGGAGCTTCTAGAACAAAGGAGAAGGGGAGCCCGGGGGCCAGGCTAGGCATCAAAAAGGCTCTGCAGAGCGAGCATGCCACAGTAGCCACCTCTGCAGCCAGCAGTTCAGCAGACAACCCTCACCTGGTCCCTTCTGCCTGCCCCAGGCCGGCACCTCCGCAGCTCTGTTTAAAGAGGCCTTGTTTTCCAGCGTGATTGCGCCGTCACTGCTCTGTGGCTTTCTCTGCTTGGCGTGGGTTGCTGCTGCCGTTCCAGACAAGAGCAGAGGGATGGCCGGGAGCGGAGCCAGGAGCCAGGGCGGCCGCCGGGAGCATGCCTTCATCCCGGAGCCTTTCAACGGAGCAAACATAGCCCCCCACCTCTGGCTGCACCGCTTTGAGGTCATCAACGACCTCAACAATTGGGACCATGCCACCCAGCTGAGGTTCCTGAAGGAGTCCCTCAGGGGGGACGCCCTGAAGGCCTACGATGGACTCAGTCCCGAGGACCAGGGGGACTACCTGGCCGTGAAGGACGCCCTGCTGAAGACCTTCGGGGGCCCCGCCGCCACCCGCAGCCACCTGCCCAAGGAGATCGTCTTTGCCAACAGCATGGGTAAGGGCTACTACCTCAAGGGGAAAATTGGCAAAGTGCCCGTGAGGTTCCTTGTGGACTCCGGGGCCCAGGTGTCTGTGGTCCACCCGAACCTGTGGGAGGAGGTCACGGATGGGGACCTGGACACCCTTCGGCCCTTTGAGAACGTGGTCAAAGTGGCCAACGGGGCAGAAATGAAGATCCTGGGCATCTGGGACACAGTGGTGTCGCTGGGCAAACTGAAGCTCAAGGCAGAGTTCCTGGTGGCCAACGCCAGTGCTGAGGAAGCCATCATCGGCACCGACGTGCTCCAGGACCACAACGCCGTCCTGGACTTCGAGCATCGCACGTGCACTCTGAAAGGGAAGAAGTTCCGCCTCCTGCCGGTCGGAGGGTCCCTGGAAGATGAGTTTGACCTGGAGCTCATAGAGGAGGAGCCCTCAGAGGAGGGGCAGCAGCCCTCTTATTGAAAAGCCCCCATTCCCTCACCCCCCAAATATGGTGGAAGACCCACCACAGAGGAGGGAAGAGCAGGTCCTCAGGGGATCCCTGGGCGTGGCCAACCCTCTAAAACCAACTCCTTCCCTCCTCCACTCATCCCCTCCTCCCTCTGCAGGGACCTGGATCTGCCCTGGTGGGGGAGGCTCCATTGGGAACCGCGGGGTGAGGGAGAGCAGGCTGGCTTTCTCAGAGGGACAGAGGGTCCTCACGGTTGCCAAGGTGCTATTGGTGGCAAAGACTCAAAGGCTGGAAGAAGGTTCCATGAAGGCTAGAACTGATTGTCTTTGAGAGAGGACTAGAGGCCCTCTTAGACCCCGAGACAGGGCTGCTTCTCCTCAGGTCTGGGCAGCCTCAGTCCGCTGGGCTGGCTGCAGGGTCCTCTCAGTCCTTGGGGACTCCTCCCTGTCCGGCCTTCCCACCTGCGTGATGTATACTTCCTTCTGTCATTTACTTTGAAGCCCATGGAGCCTTGTGCCAATAACTCATTACTTCCAAACCCAATAAAGATTGACTCATGGCAAAACCACATCATGTGTTGATTGGGGATGAATGGGATGGATGTGAGAGGGTGAGGAAAACAGGGTGTAAATGTCAAACAGAAGGAAGATTCCAGTATTTACCAAGTGCCTACCCTGGATATAGGAGAATACATAGACGGTGACTATGTATCTTGGATTTTATGACAGCCTCAATTTCAAATATTTTGACTTATTTTCTCCATAATGCCTACCATCATTTCTAATGGAGTCATAAATCCTCTCATCATTTCAAAATACAATATTATAGCATCAGTATTGCCCCTTGTACCCAAAAGTTAGCCTAACGTTATTTTTTTTTGTTTTAAATATATTTTATTGATTTTTTACAGAGAGGAAGAGAGGGATAGAGAGTTAGAAACATTGATGAGAGAGAATCATCAATCAGCTGCCTCTTGCACACCCCCCATTGGGGATGTGCCCACAACCAAGGTACATGCCCTTGACCAGAATCGAACCTAGGACCTTTGAGTCCACAGGCCGACGCTCTATCCACTGAGCCAAACCGGTTTCGGCTACCCTAAAGTTATTTGTGAGGTGTCTTGATTGGGAATGGAAAATTACAGCATTTGTTAACAGATGGGAAAGGATCTGCCTGGCAAGTAGGTTCCCATAGCCGCCTGGGAGCCAGGATCAGGGGCAAAACATAAGGCCAGGGATAAGTGTTGGCCTGCGTGGGCCACCCAAGGGAGTCCTGGAAGAAGGGGATGTGGCGACGCCAGGGTGGCCCGGGCGGTGGGAGGACGGCTTCTTCCTGGAAGGACCTGGAATGAGTCTGAAACTGGAGAGGCAGGATGGAGGGGGGACAGGGGTTCCCAGATCTGGGAATGGGATGTCCATCTCTTTTAGGGTCTACCTCAATCTGCTCCCAAATGCCTGCCTCCCTCTGGAATGAGTAGGGCCTGGAATCTGAAAATCCCAACCAAAGGGGGACTGCGGGCACAGCTTTCACTGGGAGGCGGGCAGGGCCTCTTCCCCTCCCTCCCGAGGGTTCCCTGAGCCAGTCCTGAGGTTTCCACTGGGACACCCCGAGACAAGCAGCCTGCCCGGAGGGTGAGTACCACTTGCCCCTGGGCCTCTGGAAGCCAGTCTGAGCTGAGAGCGCTGCTCCCCCTCGAGTTCCAGCTGATTCTCTGTAAACCGAGGCACCTGCTCAGCCCCGAGCCTCGTGATTCCCGAAGCCCAGCCCCGGGCAGCCAAACAGCGTCCGCCCCAGGGAACTTTGGGAGATGGGCGGGCCTGCTGCCGGGGAAGTCTTTTCCCAGGAAAGTGAGGCCTGGAGGAGGTGGGCCCGACGAGGAGCCTGGAAGTGGAGACAGAAGCCGAGAAGGAGGTAGGAGAATGGGGAAGGAGGTCCTCTCCTATCCCTCACCTCCCGGGTCTCCTGTCTTCAGTTTGGTTTTCAACTTGTAACAGCAGCTGCTCGTCTACTAGGCCAAACCCTCCCCTGAGGGGACAACCCAGGCGGCACCTCCCTGAAACCTATTTCCTGCAGGTCCTCAGCTCCTGGCCACAGGCTGGGCTGAGGCGGGAGGCTGTGGAATGGTGGGTGGGGAAGCGGGCAGGGGCGTGGACGCAGGGAATGGATGCCTGGCCAGAATTCCAGGGCAGCACCAGAGTCGCCCTCTCCCTGCCCTTCCCCATGCATAGCAGGCTGGTGAACAAGAGCGGGTGACCTGTGTCCCAACTGCAGGGACCTCGCCTCCCGTTCTGAGCCACCGGTTCTCTCCTTGGGGGGGTGGGGGGGCATGAGTGCCCGCTGGGGCCCGTGTGAGGAGGCCCCATGGAGGAAGGAACTAGGTGGTGGTTCTTACTAGAGCGCCACACTCTGAGTGAGACTTAGGACAGGTACAGTGTGTGTGTGTGTGTGTGTGTGTGTGTGTCGAGGGGGGGGGGGTTTACCAGTCCGTGTGTGAGGGTGAAACCTGGGCTCTGGGTGGTGAAGGCCGCTCTCCTAGAGCAGAGTATCAGGGAGAGGCCTGGAGAGCAGACAGGGACTGGGTCGGCCACATCGCCGAGGGCTGATGCCTGGACGAGGAGTTTGAGGTAGCTTGCAAGGAGTGTTTGGATGGTGGAGGACAAGGAAGATCTATCTGGCTTGGAGGTGTAGGTTGGAGTAAAAGAGCAGCAAAGAGTCTAGCTTAAAAGCCCTGGCGGTATTCAGACTTAGGGCCTGCGTTTGAGATGATGGAAAGGAGGAGACAGGCAGGCCTCAATGTGAAGCTCTAACCCTGGCTGCACTGGAATCGCCTGGGAAGAGCAATTACTAGTAAAGCTGGTTCTCCAGACGGGCCCAATGAGCAGCCGGCTCAAGAAGCCCGGCTTACACCTCAGGTGTATCCACCTCCCCTGGTCCCGGGACCAGCAGGAAGGCGCCTGAGCACCAGCTGGAGCTGGTGAGAGAACCAGCATCGCATCTTCACACGCCGGCACCTGCATCGGGCCACACCTCCAGGTGATTCGCATGCACACGGATGTCTGAAAGGCCCTGGCCTAGAACATTCTGATCCCACTGGTGAAAGGGCAACTCACGGCCCCCACAGACCCCCCTCTTCTAGCAATGACCACCACACACCGAATGCCCCCCAGTTCCCACGGTGCTGGGTAATGTCTCATGCTT